AAAATACATATGGTTCAGAACGGATTAATCATATTTACATTGATCCTTATGGGAAAATTTGATTCGGGTCACGACCAATTCGGGTCGCGACCAGAGTCGCGGAACGAGGTACCACTGTACTACTTGGAATACTTGTAACAAAGGAACACTAAAGCATCCCAGTGCAACCTGTAAAGAATCTACAAAGCATTTTTGGGGGGATGGTGAGGGTAATAATTTTCTTTGTCAAAGGGACATAATGAAGAGCTCTCAAAACTATTTGAGGAAGTAGAACAAGCTAATGATAGATATCCATCATGGATAGTCAAGATACTCCAAGAATGCCAAAAGTTCATTATTGTCTCAATTCCTTATACTTTCTTCAATACATTTCTTGATGAAGTAGGTTGCTGCCTACATATACATATAAACCTCTGGTGGCTCTAAACCAGTGTTCCCCTACCTAAGGAATGTCCAGATGTATGGATTTCAACTCCCAGAAAGCCCTAGCCAGAATAGCCATTGTTGAAATTTCTGGGAATTGAAATCCGTACATCTGTAAGCTGCCAAGGCTGGGAAACACTGCTCTAAGCCTACATTCCTCAGTCACAACTCCTATCATTCCCAGCCACCATTCCACACTAACTGGGAATTCTGGGAGTTATTAACCCATACATCTGGAAGGGCATTAGGCTGGAGAAGCCTAGACTAGGCCATTCAACAACTCCAAGCTGCTCTTCATTTAAGAAACGTTGATTTTTCCATCTACTTCTTTATCTGAAGTAGTCATCATGGGAGTTTGTGGGAGGCCAAAAATAAAAAGGATAGCACTTGCTGAGACCTGATGTATCAGCATACTAGGATCTCCTTAGGCAGTCAGGCACATAGAGAAAATTTTCTGCCTATAAAACAGAATAATGATAAACCAATTCCTGGACCTCAAATTCCCAAAATAATGGTACTTACCCTGGACTTTCCCAGAGCGTTGTCATTTTCATCTGTCACTGCAATCCCATTAATGAGTTCTCTAATGCAGACACAAACATATGACCTTAATCATTAAGATCAACCACCTAGATGTGGTGTGGAATGTCCCCACTTCAACATGACTGCTGCATTCAGTACCTTTAGCATACTATATATAATTATTTATAAATGTTTTTAAATATATTGGGATTCCAGTAAAGCAACAAAATAAACAAGCAAACATAAAAACCAATGTAGATCCCAGAAGCTTTAAGTTTGCCCACCATATTGCTGTAAAATCTGAAATTTTAGTAATCCCTTTTCCCCAGCATTCTGGATCTCCTCTCATCCATGAAGCTTGTTGGGCTTCTTTGTTTGATTTATATCCCACTTCTATCTTGTACAACTCAAGGAAGCATACTAAATGGATCCACCCTCTCTTTTTCCCCCACCCCAACTAGCCTGTGAGATGAAGTGGACTGGGAGAGAGTGGCTGGTCCTAAGTTACCCAGCTGCCTTGTTATTTCAAAAAACGCTGCAGGGGGCCTGTTATATTCAGTTTAGATCAAGAAGCTCAGTAAAATTCTTTGCAGGAACCCAATGCTTAATCAGCCTAAGAACAATTATGTTGCTGAGAAGGTCCACCCACTAAAGCTATTGGGTATCTGACACCAATGATGGTACGCTGCTGCCTCCCAGTGAATCCTGCTCCTAATATCTCCAAACAGTCCAAGGATTTATATAATATACCCAGCAACTCCAAACATTTGAATGTCAAAATGAAAATGAAACCTAGCTGAAATTAAGGAGGTGAGAAATTATTCTTTTTTAAACATGCACCAATATAACTCCATTACTGGACTTATCAATGGAGGCACAAATTGTTTAGGGATGAGTAAGCTTAAAGCAGAGCAAGCTGGAAAAATGTGCTGTTCTACACCATCTTTTCCATTTTCTAAATGCTTCTCAAACTTTCAGACCCTGTGCGGTCCATAGTTGTCCCACTGCAGCTATTGTAAACACTCATCATAGCTCACCCACACCTTCAGTTAGCCAATTAGCGGAGTACCAAAATTGTCCACCTTTGGCATTCAAACCCACTCTTGACTCACTGGGCTTGTTCTGCATTAGTGCCATGATTAAAACCATGGTTGCTGGCTGACCAGTCACTCTAAAGCCCAATATGAGAGCCCCAAGGTGCTAAGGTAGTTTGTCAGCTGTGGGGAAGGAGCACCAAGAATCTAGGATGGGGGATTTGGTGGGATTTTCTACCAGTCAAAAACAGGCCAAGTTGTAGCCCCAAGAGTAACAGCATCTCACAATCTGGGAAAGACAAGTTTTACAATGTGAAATTTTGGGGAGCTGAGCTGGAAGAAAAGCTGTTGAGTAAGGACATTAGTATGGGAGCAGCACCTAAGCCCATTATGGAAGTACCCTCAGAAATATTCTTCAGTATGGGTCAACTGCACAAACCTCAGAATTGCTTAATATATTAATAGTCTACATCTGATTAAATGGCTGCAGTTTTAAACAGAAGATTTAGAAAGTATCATCAACGCATTCATAACATCAATGCACAATTATTGTCATGTTTCACATGAGACTTTGTGTTCCTATCCACTTTTTTCTAGACAGGCTAATACCGACGTCTCTATGCTATGCTTTTCATATGTCTAATTAAAAAAAATTAACTTTGTACCTGAATAGTGGGTGCCAAAATCCATTCATATGGCAATTAGACTAATCTTTAATTACTTTCTTTCTTATTAACTGTTCCTGCTTGTACACAAAATGAGAAAGGCAGTTATGGAGAAACGCATCATTTGAATGACATTTTCTATTAAAATAAGTAAGTACACACTATCATAAAGTTATAAAAGGTTGGTGACAATTCAGTCCAGCAGAATAGATTTTTCCATTTGTCCCCAAATCACTGATGCCCTAATTATCAAAATGACCCAGACTTTATCTTATCTTACAGATTATACAAGAGGCAAAACCTGGGCTGCAGCCAGTTGCCTGCAAGTACTCCTCCCCAAGTCATTGGCTAGATTACTGTGATGTCATGGAATTTTTAATGAATTGCAGCTTTACAGGTAAAGATGACATCAACAAAATGTTGACAGTACAGCTTCTGTAGGAATAGCAAAAGGTCATCAGGCTGGGAGCAAGTTATCATATGATAGCCAGGGACAAATATGCATTATTCGCAAGAAGAAAAGATTAAAAGATGCTGCCTTTATTTGGATCACACAACTGACTGATTCAGCCATTCTCCATAGCAATTAATTCAGCCCTATGCAAAAGAACAACATGAGCACGGATGACAGTTTTTTCAGCTGCCACCAAGGAGTCCAGGAGGCTATCATACTCTGGCTTTGGTGGGGGAAAAATAAATAATGGCCCAATTGGGGTTGGTGTCACTGAGGACAGAGGGAATTATTTAATTTACTAATTTAATCCATAGCCTGCCTTTTTACTCTGGTGAGGTAAGGGAGCCACAAGGCAAGGAGGACAAAGGTAGTGATCAAATCAAGTTACAGATCGAAAAGAGGGATAGAAATGGAAGGAAGAAAGTAGAAACTGAAGAGGACTATACATGATGTATACAGAATCTAAAGAAAGTCTGCTTTTGGTGATACGAAAGAAACAGAGCTTTGGAGCACAGGGGAGAGAACAGAGACTAAAATGATAATGGAGCTGAATTTCTCACATAGCTAAACCTGCCATTTCTCTTTATTTTAAGGATGCGTGGAAATCTGTACTTTTGTGTAGTATTAATAAAAGTATGCCTACTTCTGTGCCTAGAATATGGCTTAAACATTTTGGTTGGTTGCTTTTATTGATATATGCTAACTTTGCACATATATGGAGTTGGTAAATTAATTCAGTTTGCAAGAGGAAAGTGTACTGGCTAGGATGAAGAAGAGATACTATAGATTGGTAATGGGATTATAAAACTTCACAAGTTTATTTTCTTCTAAGAGAAGTTAGACACAATAAATAAAAATAGGGAGAGTTGCAATGAGGCCAATTTTGACCTGGATTATCAGGTCGAATCATTGCCAGCAATGAGCACCAGGTAATATTCTAACAACAACAACAAAAAAAGCCAAACAAGTAAGCCAGGAAATACATTGTAAATACAACAAATAGCACGGTGGTCTGTGGTCCATCTTTTCCTTGCAAGGGTATTGGTTCCTGGTGTTTGGATGTACCCTATTATAGACTCTGAGAATATCGGGTTGCATATTTATTAGCAAAGCTGAACTAATGAGAGGCAGCGTGTATCCCTTTTTTTGATTGGACACATATGACCCTTGCTTTGATTTAATGACCCACATTTTACAACTAGTGAGTGAGATGGAGGCTGTAGTGACCAACAGTGCAGAAGCAAATAATTCTGGGAAGGTAATGGAAGAACTTCACCCTGAAAAAAGAAATCCTTACCTGGCTGCCTGTTTCTGCTATCAGTGGTGACTTTGAAAAACAGCTATAAGACTGATCAAGTTATTATTAGGTACAGAGGAAAAAATACAGCTGTCCCCGTTCCCAGGCAAATGCTTTTGCTCTTAGATTAAAGGAGTCACTCTCAGTATAACCAAAGTTGACTTCTGTGCATTATAGTCAAGAAAAACCCTTATTTATCATGTTGTCCCTGCATTCCCTCTTTCCCTTTTCTGCTTGGGATCCATCAAGAGACTTACTGCTGCCTCATCAAGGGGATATTCACACAGTTGGCAGCAGCTACTGCTGCAAACGGGACCCAGCGTGCCACAAGGGTCGGTGCTCTCTGTATGGAGAAAGATAAGGCAGTAAGGAGCAAGACTAACCCTTTACAAGAAAAGGGAAAAAGGACTGAGTAGCCATCTGTGGAGGCCATGGGCAACGGGCCTCTACTGCACTGAACTAAATCCTTATAATCTCATATTAAATTTATCTCTTAGAACAAAACTGTGCCACTTGCAGTTCCAGGACTACATGCATCCCCTCAAGGCCTTGGCTCAGTCCTCCAGAAGCCCATCAATAAATATCCCCATCAAGCTGTGTGTGTGTGTGTGTGTTTTTTTTAAACTATACAGGAGAAAATTGGTACATACATCAGGAATAACCTTTAACTATGTTTAATTTAATTCAGTGAAAATGCAAGTTAAATGAAATCAAATTTAGATTTCTTTTCATGGCCATTGCTGTCCTTGAGCGTAACCCCTGGCATGCCACTCAAATGCCAAAGTGCTGTGTGCTTACAAAATGCTCTGCAGCGCCTGAAGTTGAGGAAGGAAGGAAGAACATACTTTACAGCCCAAAGAAACAACTTTCAGAGACAGAAGATATTCCAATCCTACATGCTAGAAGACTCAGGGCTGGTGCAGAAAACAGGCAATCGTGCTCCCACAGGTCTAAGTTCCTACAGGGAGAAGCCAGGGATGCCTGGTCTCATCTTTGGGCCTGCTGCCCCCTTGTGGTTAAGAGTAGTAGCATTTTAGAGTTGTACCTTAGTGTAAAGGTTGAGTCCCACAGCAGTTGCCAAGGCAGTGCTGGTAGCGGTGAAATAAGCCACTCCAATTTGCCTGGAATTATCCAAAGGGGATATAAAATAATAAATGTTAGTTTCAGCATTAGTCATTTTTAATCTGCAGTTGTGTAACAAAGGGCTTCTATCATTCGCATGCATTTTAAAAGGCAAATTTAATCACAGTCCTTATTTATACTTTTCCTCAAACAAGAATGAGCTTTATGAAGCAACTGTTTCTGTATGGACTTGTGGCTTTTCATGACAGACCTATGATATAAAGAGATAAGTACGTTTCCATATCTAGTTCTGTGACACACCCAGAAAAACCAGAATGGCCATGAAGTCAAAGTAGACATTGTAGGAAGAAAGCCAGGTTAGTCTATGGTAGCTGAAAATCACGAGGAATACCCTTTCAGACTAACAAATGTTATTAAAAGGCATAAATGTGTTCATGAGATACAGCTGTGCCAGACTCCTTCAGATACATGAAGTCACAGGTAACTGCTTTGGGCTGAGCATAAAACCCTTCATATATAGCCACTTCCCCACTTCAGATCCCATCCCACACTCCAGCTGATAGACTCAGAAATAAAGTTCTGAGTTGAATAAGACATGAAAGCTACATACAGGGACAGCGAGACTGCAAACACTAGATCTATCTCGACTGTGCCTCTCCAACAGAGCCACCATTTTCTATTCCCTGGAGTCAGTTCTGGAAACGCTATGCATCCAAATAATAAGGTAGAATGGCTACCAAAGCACGACCATTTACCCACACTGTCTAGCCCTCAAGAAGGTGCCGTATATCTTCATAGGAATGATTCCAAAGAGTGGTGCAGATCAAAGCTAAACCAAGGTCAGCTAACTGGATGAAAACACTATGCTATCGGGTAACTCTGAAGTGCACTCACTTGACCGAGATGGGGCTAGCTGCATTCCGGTTGGTGTAATTCACAATGGCGTTAAAAGACTGATTTACCCACTGCCAAAATACCACAGCTGGGACTGTTCTGTAGAGAAAAAAATGTGAACACAGGTTCAAAGGTCCGAGTAGGTATGTGTATCTTCCAGATAGCTGAATGCAGTACAGCCAGTGTTACCTCTCTTCTGGACCCATGTATTAGCCTTTATCAGACACTAAAAGTTTTTTTTTAATTATCATGTTTATTATAAAAATCCCTATTATCATATTTACAAACTTTCTATAAAAAATGCAGTTAGAGTAGCTGAAAGGATCCTAGGTAAACAAAGCATAAAGGTACATGTTAATATAAAGATAAAAGAATAGTTGAAGGCAGATTTACTTCAAAGGAATATTCAGAGAAAGCCTGCTGACATGAAACCTAAAAACAACAGTATTTGGTGCCCACCTGAGGGAGAGAAGTGAGAGAATCAGGCAATGTACTTGAGATGCTGATCCTAAGAACCTCACCACCAAAAAGGCCTTTTCTCTTCTACCCTTCCTAGAACCATTGGCAGAAAGACCCAAAGAAGAACCTCAAAAGTAGAATATAATAGCTGGGAAGTTCTTAATGTATTCTCATTTGAAACTAACTAGGCCAATAAGCCATTATTAAATTCTAATATCAATTTTAATTTAAAATTACCCAGATAATCATTCTTCAACATAGCTGCTCATGAGGAATAAACACTTTAGTCTGAGGTTAGTTGAGAGCAGGTTAAGGAAAATGTAAGTTACTGATAACGTACACTTTAAAACAGGCAATTTAAACTTTAGAACAAAACATATGGCAGAGTTATAGAATTTTTAATCAAGAAGCAGCAGAAAGAAGAAAAAGGGCTCAAGTCAGTGGCAGGATCCTATTATATGCAAGACTAAAAAGCGGCTGATTAATTTGTGGCCCAGCATGTTGGGCAAACACAGCCAAGATGATGAATATAAGCTTTACTGACTTGTATAAACAGGCAACTGTGGTATACTGAGAAACTGCAAAGCACTGGGAAACAGACTCTGGTTTCACTTTCTGAGACTAAGTAGATTGTGTTGCTTAGTTGAAAAGCCACGCAGAAGTCCCAAACAACTCACAATCCTACACCACAGGACTCATTTACGCCAATATAGTTTCTTTTCACAACGTATGCTTAAGATCCATTTCAGTTGGCTGCTGCATACTATAGGAGCATATCCTGATACCTTCTGTTTTCATCTAAATATTTCATTTATCATATAACTTCCTGGATAAATTTTGGCCTTTGCAATTCTTTGCCATAAAGAAGCCACTACACGGAGATGGTGTTCTAAGACAGTTGTAAGATGGTATTCTTGGTAACAATTAAGTAGTTTTAGCATTACCATTGTCTGGATGGTCTTTCTTCCTACTCTGGCCTACAGTCTTGGCATTCCCTCATGGTCTGCCATCCAAATCCAGCTCTGCTTAGCTTTTGCGTATCAGTCAAGGTTGGCTAGATACTACCCAAACAGCTCTTAATAGGATAATGCTGGACAAACCCATTACTTATTTTATGAAATAAGGTTGGTTGCCTGATATTTTAATTCCTTTGGAGTGAAGTATTTGAATGCTTGAGAATAAGCGTGTGCAAGGTTTGAGGGGATGTGGACCAAATGTAACTTTTAAGTTGCATAGTGAAGACTACATTTCAAATGTAGGCAGGACCATACCAAAGCAAGCAGGTTACATTTACATGAAATCTAAATGAAATTAAAATAAAACAGGTGAGCAGATCATTCCCTATATACTGTACTTAATCATTTTTCTTTCTGTCAAATTAAAAAATTTAGTTGGCCCTGTCTTTGGGAAAAATTGGACACACCAGGCTTCCAGACAGTGTAAGACCTTGGATCTCAAGTTATACACTTCTGATCTAGGGCTAGTAAAAAAAAAAAAAAATCACTACATATACACATAGTTTATGCATCCTGCTAAATCATACATGGTTGATTTGTTTTTGTGATATTAGTGAGATATGACTTCATCCACTGTTTCTAGTTTTTCACTAGGAAGCAAAAAAAGAAACAAACCACATTAGTGCTCAGGATGTTTATCCCCACTGACATTGTTTTGGATACAGGTATTGTAGTAAGTTTTATAAATAAATAAATAAATAAATAAACAAACAAACAAACAAACAAACAAATAACAGAATCATGAAACTGGAAGGGCCAAGTCATGCCATCAGGACCAAGTCTCTGCTAAGTGCAGGAATCCAAATTAAAGCATCCTGGACAGAGGGCGGACAAGCCTCTGCTTAAAAATATTTGACCAAGAGCCCACCATCTCCCTGGATGAGTAGTTCCACTATTAAACTGCTCTTATTGTTAGTTTTTTCCCCCCACCTTCCCAATTTAATCTGCAAAAAGCACAGACTGTTTATCTCAGTCTGGGACTCCTCTGTCTAACCCTGGCATGCAGCTTGCCTGTTTTCAGACTATCCCAGAAGCCTTTCTTCATTGCCATCAGTATCAACTAATGGGAATTTAATGTTTGTTTTAAAATGCACAGTGTTGAAGATTAATTGCTTGAATTTCAGCATTAATGCAATAGGCCTCCAGAGAATTTCACCACTAGTTCACTTCACTGGCAACCAAATCTAGAACAAATCTAGACCACGAAGGAAAATGGAAAATTCCAGAAACAGTGTAGGATAAGAACAAGAAATGTCCATCTATGTCGCATAAAGCAGCCTCAACTTTGGGTGAGCAATGAAGGAGAAAAGAAAGCAACAGAACCTCAGAAAAACTGTCCCTTCATACCTGTAAAATTGCAGCATGCCGCCTGTGATAGCCATTCCTCCGGGGACTTGAAATGACATTCTCCCTATTAAATTCATTTTTTCCCCTGAGTCAGGATGGAAAGCTGAGTCATAAAGCTTCTTGGCATAGAAAAGCTGTTCCTCACTGGTTCCAGGGGGTACTGAACCTGCCCTACAGGTGCAAGAAAGAAGTCACTTCAGTAAACAGCATTTGTCCCTGAAAAACTGTGCACTGGACCTTGAGAAGAAGCTGTCTCTTGAAACAAGCGTGAATGCAGACTGGGGTCTTAACAACATCCAAATCTGTTGTATGCCAAAGCAGCCCAATGTATTTTACAACACGCATAGCAGTATGCAAGTAAACCAGAAACTTTGATACCCAAGGCAGACAATCTAAACTCTACTCACGTAGCAGAAACAAACCAGCAATATTGCCCTTTCATGATAGCACCAAATCAGATGCTCAAGGCAGCTGTTTCACTCTGTCTAATTGGGCTGGCCCTGTTTGTACAATATTGTGCACTATTCTGCCTTACATTTTAATATGCAAGAGCATGGGATTTCAGTACATATGTATTTATTTTTCTAGTAGTAAGACCTAGACAGAGAAATCCTTTTGTTATGAAGGTTTCCTTTGGTGAAAGAAGTCCTCCTCCTCAGAAGACATTTGAATATGCATTTAAGAATTATCACCACCCAACTGCAATGAGGACTTTAACAATACCCAATCATTTTATTTTTAATTAATAATTTATTTAAAAAATAATTTTTAAAAATAAAATAATTTTAAAAATGAGAAAAATTAGTAAAAATATTAAATTCTAAATTCCCTCCTATTGTACCCAATTGATTGCATCAAAATATTTATAAACATTGCTTTTAATTACTCCCTTTATGTCAATTATTTCCCCTTTAAAAATTGTACCATCAGTGTCTGAGTGACTAAATTTATATGATATATCACACAACAAGGTAAACTTCTGTTCTGGATGTATACTGTTAATTTTGTCATTGCTGTATATTCCCCAAATTTGGTTTCCCAGTCTGATATTGTCAGCAAAGTCTCTCTTTTCCAGTGTTGGGCCAAATTTGTCCTTGCGACTGTCATCACATATCTTAATAATACTCATTAATTTTATTGATACATCTAAACAGAGGCAGCTCTTAAATTTTACAAAAGTTCCAAACTTGATTGTTATTATTCAGCAACCTCCCAGCTGACTACCTGCAGCTTTCTACAATTGTCTTCGCTGAATCCAACTTATGCTCTGACACCAGCAGTGTTCTAGGATCTGTGATGTTGAAAAAGTGCTTTACACGCCCCATAAAAGTATTCTGGTCCCAGCGAGGGGCATCAATATTAAACTTGGCAATACTGGCCATTGTTCCCTGCAGAGAGAGTAGAGAAGAAAGGACAAGTCATAAATCACCACCATAGCTCCGTATTTTTTTGCCAAGTTGTCACCAAGAAATGGTGAATTACTTTTTAAAGACTGTAGAAAAAGAAAGAATGTACCTGTTGGCATTTTGCCCTACTGATTTATCAGTCCTTTGGCCCACACATCTTTATGGGGAAAAGATGAGAATTTTGCTTGCTAACGAAAACAGAGAAAGACAACAAAAGATAGCTGATGTATTCAGCTGTTGCACCCTCCTTGAAAAAAGCAACAAAAAGGAAGCACCATCTCCATATGAAGACTGTACAATTTTATTCAGAGCACACATAAACCTTTACAAGGGTTGCCACTTGCACACAACAAATGAACCATTAATATTTACTCTGCACTATGCATCATTCAGCTCCCTTCATACACAGCATTTAGCAATTTTTGGCGTTTGTAACACATAAAAAATAGCATGGATATATAATGTTTATCATAGGTCCTAATGTACTTTATTTAAATTCCACTAATCCAGTACATTGGCAATAGCTGGATTTGTATGCAGGAGAACCAATGCTTATTATGCTGGTGCAGAGATCTAGTATGGATACATCTCAGCATGCACAAGCTCTCTGCAAATTTGATGGGTTGGCTGAGTGGCCAAAGTACGAGCTATGAAAAATCGCAGATACAGCTTGCTATGGACATGTGTGTTATCTTTCATTATGAGGTGTCAATACAATGATTAAAGTAACATTTTAAGAGAATGGACTTTCAGTCATAAGACAGAATGTTCTAATACTAACTTATAGAGAAATAGATACATACAAATGCACAATATTCTAGATGTGCTAGAAAAATGAAACTGTTAAGTGTGGTGGTGTTTAATCTCACTTGGAAGATCTGCTGCAGAAAGAACCACTAAGAATAAGTCTCAAACAGATGCAAGAGAGAGGCTGTGGCAGAGTGCTATCTAGGTTATTATTAAATTACCTAGGAGTTTAGTCTCAGGGATGGTGAACAGAAGGATTCTAGAACATCCAAAGGAGCTATTTCTTGCAGTTAGATAACAGGATCCCATGAGGTGCAAGCTTGATGGATAAGCCAAGATTAGATTGGGGCCAAAGATGTATAATTTACATTAAAATCTCTGTATACTGTAATTCAATAAAGAAGCTTCTGACATGGTTGGAAATTATGTGGAAAAGCCTGCTGCTAGCTTACATGATTTGTTTGTTTAAGCTATGAACTTTGGCATTAACCAGATTACATGGTGGATATTCAGCCACTGAAAAATACTATCCACTCAAAGTGGGGGAGACTTTTATTGGTCTGTTTTCTCCATAATGGGTACTTAGTACAAATGGAAGCTGCAATGCAGTCTCTCCTACGGTAATTGTTACACATTCCTAAGAAATGCTGCATGTACATTCTCTTAAAATATAGGCAACAGCCTTAGAATTAGTGCAGCATTAGGACAATCCATAAATATCACCCAACACTTCTGTAAGCAGCCTGTCACTAGTTGGTCTCCTTAGCAGACAATTCAGCAATGCATCCCACCATCTATTCTCTTAAATGTTAAAAATGCTAAAAACTGACGAAGCACCCTGAGAATGTTTTCTTTGAGCTCCAAGTGGCCATGTAGATTTGGACAATGGCGGTAATGCTGGATATTTTAGGTATAGATATAGTCTCCAATCTTTCCCAATCTACCTGCACTAATACCCTACAGTGACCCATGCCTTACTCTAGATTACTCTAACATGCTGGATGTGGGCTGGACTTGAAAAATATTCAGAAACAACAACTAATGCAAGGACCACCTGGTACACATGGTAAAATTAGTCTTCACTGGATTCCAATTCATTTCCAAGTTTCTCTGAGTTGCTTGTTCATACCTATACATTTTGGACCAGGTTATCTTGAAAATTATTTATTCATATAAACCTGCCAGAGCCTGCATTAAACGCTGAAGCCCAGCTTTTATGTCCCATATTGTAGAGATACATGGTTTTTAGGGACAGGACCTTTCAGTTATGTTTATACTTAATATTAAACCTGGACTTGTGAAAGAAGAGTTTGCTGAACAAGCAACAGAGTAGCTGCCTTGCCTATAATGGTGGATTCACACATCCTGCTTTGCCACAAGCAGACACCTCACATTATTGGTGACCTAGGCTTTTGCAGAAGAAGGGAACGTTTTCCCCCAGAGAGACTGGGCTGGCTCCCTCAGTGTAGATGACAGGTAAAAACTATAATGTTCTGCCAAAATTTCAGTAATCATTACCACTTCTTCATTTTAAAAGGATGATACTTTTTAATGTACAGTGGTACCTCGGGATACGAACGCCTCTACTAATGAACTTTTCGGGTTACGACCAGCTCTGGCCGCAAACATTTACCTCGACGTGTGAACTCCGCCTCGGGGTACGGCCATTTTTCCGCCCTGACACGTGGTCCGCGGCCATATTCCCGCT